TCATTAATCCTGCATCCCCTATGGCACTGAATAAATTTCGAGATGGGGAAGAGGGAAAAGAGGGAAATGTTCCCTAAATTAGGACGGAGTAGATATCCTGAGAAAAGTCTGCTCCTCTCTTCTACTAATTCTTCTAATCCTTTGAAACCTTTTTCTCATCCATACTAGTTGACTTTTGCAGCTAGCTAAAAAAAGGAAGTTATACATTCTAAAATGAACTGCACATCAGTATGCATAGTGATTAAGAAAGTAACATTATCTGAAAGCTTTGCAAAGAAAAAACAGAGGAAACTTCTTCAGAAACTGCGAACACCAGATCAGTCCCTGTAATAGTCTATAATTGTTTGCTTTACAAGGCTGCAAAGCACTTCCATCACTAAAAAGAATAGTATTTGAACAACAGTAACTTATGTTGGACCTTTCCAATTTCCTGAACAAACTCTACCAGCATAAACAAACTCATATTTACATAATGTTAAGCTTGGATTGTTAAAGCAGACAAAATTAGTAATAGCAGCTTTCAAACAAATTAGCTATCACTTATTAGAGAATTTAACTATGGTGTGGAGGCGGTTAAAGAGTAGAGAACATAGAGCTTGCCTGTTGAACATCAAGTCCCCTCGCCCAAACATCTGTTGTGATTAGAACACGAGTCGTGCCACCTCGGAACTCAGCCATAATAGCATCTCTCTCCTTCTGTGGCATGTCTCCGTGCATAGATGAGACTGTAAAATTATTCTCACGCATCTTGTTAGTTAGCCAATCAACCTGTTACATTAATCGCACTTCCTTTAGAAAGACATCGTACAAAAACAAATGCACTATCTGTGTAAGGGGGAAAAGAAAGAATAAATTTGGAATAAATTGCTTGGTTTTTCTCTCAAACATGTTGGAAAATAAATTGTATTTGCAAGTAAGTCAAAAATGAGGGGAAAAAAGTAATTCCTACTCAAATTACACATTTACATGTATTATAAACCTTTTGTATTTACAATTCCTTATTTTTTAATCAGGATCCCATGATTACAATTTAACGTTGACATTCTTAACACACACACACTCCTCAAGTTGGAGGGTAGCTGTCATATGCTCCAAACTTGGCGGAAATATACTTGTTTTTGGAGCCACACAGTGACCTTATACCCCGATTCTATTTTTTGTAAAATAAGATGACACTCTTGACTAAAAATGCTTTGTTTCTTTCATGAAACACTGAACTAGAAGTGATGTGTACTACAGCCTGGTTGTCGCAGATCAATTACATTAGTACATGAAAGTACAGTGATATACTTTTTACTTCTCCCGTTGATTTCTACAGAGAACTCCATTCACCGAAAAAGACTCTAATAATAACTGAATGATATCAAAAGCTTTCCAATAACTCACAAATATAAAACATAAGTACCATAATGAAAAACCCCCAAAACAATCAAAGGAAAGCTCCTAATATTACGATCTCTTATTTAAGGCAACAGTCCATTACAGTTCACTTGATTTGTCAAGAAAGAAGTCCACTATGATTCACTTGGGAGCACAAGAACAAGGTGACAATGTTACCTTTCGTTTTGTGTTGCAGAAAATAACAGCCTGGGTGATGGTGAGTGTATCATAAAGATCACACAGTGTATCAAATTTCCACTCTTCTCTCTCCACCGCTACAAAGAACTGTTTGATGCCCTGCAACAATACAAAAAAACATGAGCAAAATAATTCTAATGAAAATTATTACATCAGTAATCATTGTGACCCTTCATCTGCTTTCCTGAGAGGGGACTTGTGTGAGAAAAAGAACAACTCAAATCAACACTTGCCTCTAGAGTCAATTCATCACGTTTTACAAGAATCCGAACAGGATCTGTCATAAATTTGCTTGTTATCTCCAGAATTTCATTTGGAAGAGTGGCAGAGATCAGTACAACCTGCAGAGTCCATATATGATTATATATGTCAAACGTTTATATACTTGTCCAGAGGAGGAGTGAGAGACAGAAAGAGAGGGAACAGACACACAGACACATGTCCAGTGCTTAAAAGTACAGCAGGAAAATCTAATAAAAAATTTCAGTTCCATTTTGCAGTTGGTGGGAAGGGCACAGACCATCTCTTGTCCTCTATAAAGCAAAAAATCATACATAACAAACAGCAAAGAGGACTCTATACTGAGCAAAACAACCAGCCAATTTCATTCCCAGATTTTACCTCAAAAAAAAAAGAGTACAAAACATGCAAAGCAAACTGGATTCTTGATTTTCTAAGCTACTGGATCACACAATTGAAGACAGAAAAAGCAAATCCAAACATAGAATTTACACAGAATCTGTAGGCTTCAACATAGGCCGCATGCAGCACAAGCATTGCAATTCAAGCAACACTACCAACAAAGTGTGATCAATGATGGATCAGTGAGGAGCTGCACAATGTATATGATTCACTGGTGGGTAGCCGCACACCAAAATTTAAAAGCTTACGGACCAGTTCTAGGTGAAGATTTGTAATATAACTCAATCGTTTTGAACAATAGCTTTTTGTAGAAATAATCACTTAATAAGCAAGAATATGAGTTTTTTTTATGCATTTAGAATAACAGACAACTCACCTGAAGCTCTGGTGGAAGATATCTGTAAACATCATATATCTGATCTTTAAAACCACGGCTCAACATCTCATCAGATTCATCCTAACAAAATCAGAAGTATAGTAAGACCTCAAATATTTTAATGGAAAAGTAATCAGCTGAAAAAAGATTCAACAAGCAAGATAATTATGAAGGTAAAAAGCCATAAACTTACAAGAACCAATAATTTTATGGCCCTAGTTCGTAAAGTTCTCCTTTTAATCATGTCACAGACTCTTCCAGGAGTTCCAGAGACTACTTGTACTCCATGCTCTAGCTTTCTGATATCTTCACCCACACTTTTGCCTCCAATACATGCATGTGCCTGTATGTTAATGTAATCTCCAATAGCCAAAATCACCTTTTCCGTCTGAGCTGCAAGCTCCCGTGTAGGAGATAATATCAATGCTTGTACCCTAAGAAAACACAAAGGAAATCACTCAGAATTCCTGAGACTTCATGAAATAGCAAACTGCATACAAATTCTGAAGTTTACTTTTGATGAGCAAATTTGGAACTTTAAAAGTGGCTAAAAGAAAACTACTTTTAATCCAAAAGCCCATTCCTTATTGTTCTTGCCTCACCAAAAAAAAATCAGGAGCAAAAGCTATCATATGTTGATACTAGATTTTCAGCCATACTAGAAAGTAAAATAACCTCACGTGTAATAAATTGTTAACATTAAACACATCCATCATATCCGCATTTCAATAAACTCAGACATACGAGTAATGAAACACCTCACCATCATTAATCATAGTGTATAATAGACAAACTAGCATGTGGATTCAGGATTTTAAGACTCTGGTGAGGAGCACTCCTCAGTGGCAATGGGAGTAAGCCTAGTACAAATAAATCTACTTCCAATCTTTTTCAAATATACACATAGAAACAAATCTACAACTCCTCGAACTGTATCCAACCTTTGGAATGATCAGAACACAATGGAAGAAAAACATCCATAGTTGTGTCTTAAGAATTTGAAATTCAGTAGAGAAAAAAAAACTCTAATTGTAGAGAAACTACCTATTTGTCCTAAAAAACAATTCAAGAAAAAGTGTTTAGTATTGATGTGAAACAATAACAAATTAAACAACATGACTAGTGAGAATTCATATAGCCAAACTACAACTAGCTTTGGGTTGGGGCATAGTTGTTATAGTATTCGAGTGAAACAGAATGAATTCATAGTGTCAACAGCAACTAGGTTGAAGATTGAGGCAAAACAATGTAGGTAATTTCCCTGGGAAAATCCAAAATATATAGTGGGAAATTGAACGAGAAAAATACTTTCTAACTACACAACTACAACTACATAAACAAGGTGACATGAGTGGCGTTGGAATACATACTCGGAATTTTTGGTATCGACAACTTGGCAAACGGTAAGGGCAATCATGGAGGTTTTTCCGGTACCGGATTGTGCCTGAGCAATGACATCACGGCCGGATATAATGGGCAAGACAGCCCGTTGTTGGATGGCAGATGGTTTTTCGAAGCCGTATTGGTAAATCCCTCTAAGAAGGTCATCTTTAATCCCCATCTCAGCGAAACTCGTTATTGGTTCAACACCTTTGGATGTCTCGAAAACTAACCTGTCTTCCTCCATCGGCGGCCTCCTCCTGTTCGCCGGAACAACCGACCCTGACGCCACCGCCTCCATGAATAATTGAAAGAAAATTTGTAACTTTTAGCTTTGTGAGAGATGGAGTTCCCGACGAAGAAAAAGCCCTAATAATCCTATTTTTATGTATGTATAATATAACGTGCAGAGTGGGTCTAGCTGGATTGTACTGTATCAAGTAATACTTGTACATCCCGACCCGACCCGACCGAATTCACTAGGGTTTGTTCGAAAATGTTTTATTTTTCGAAAATAAGTGGCTTATTATCATGAAATTAAAAGAGCAACTTACAAAAATAACTATATTTATAGGGTTAATGAATATCAATAGCTATAAGTATGTTATTTACAATAAATGACTACAATTTATATCACTTTTTAGCTGTATTTTTGTATAGTTTTTTTTTTTTTTTTTTTATACATTAATACATCTTTAAATACAACAAACTAAATAAGGAATTGACTTTAAATATAACCCACTATCCTTACCTTACGCCCATAAAATGAGCAACTCCCATAATTAATTTTATAACTGAAAATTTCTTATTTAAAGACATATCCTATCATCTTCTTTTATCAGTTTAACAAAAATTGTGGTACAACAGACTCAATTTTCTTGTTGTCTTCCATATTTCTTATTCTGGCGTCTACTTAAAGGTATGCATAGATTTTTTTTCTGGTTAATTCAATTTATTGTATGTAAGCAAATTGTTGAATTTGTGAATGAAGGTTAAGTATTTCGATTTTGAATAGGTGAACTACATGGCAACCATACCTGTATTGATCAGACATTCTGGAGAGTGGAATGAAGAAAATAGCTACGTCGAATACAGCATCGATGGAGTATTGTTGAAGGAACATGCTTCTTTTTCTGATTTAGTTAATCTAATTTCTGGTCATTTGAATGTTGATATGACTACAAAGTGTATGAAAATCAAATACACCATTGAAGGTAATGATAGTTCCATAGAGATACGCAACGACATGGGTGTACGGGTATATGTTCAATTAAAAAAAGTGAACACTGAATTTGGAATATATCCATTGTGTAAGTATTTTCGATAGAGATGTAGTTTACTGCGAAACTGGAGAAATTTCTATTGAAGGAGATGTGTTGCAGCTTGAATACAATGTTGGATCAACTGATACAAGTGATACATTATATTTGGTTTCGTCGTTTGGTGATAACCCAAATAATGTATTTGATGGTGGCAACGACTTGATCATTACTAACAGATATCAGAAGGAAATAATGGAGGATCAAGTATACGTGGACAAGTCGACACTGAAGTCTGTGATGGAAAAGTATTCAATTGACAATAGGTTTCAATTGTTGGTTAAGAGGTCAAACTCTATTAGGTACATTGTCATTTTAATTGATTGAATTGAAATGTATTGATTATTGAATGCAATTCTAAAGACGACTTTTTGCGCAAACTGTATTTATGTACTTGTATGCCATTCTAAAGACATTTTTTTGCCAACTGTTTTGCAGTTATACTCTGGTATGCCATAATAAAGAATGCAAATGGGTAATGAAGGCATCAAGTATAAACAAGTCGAAAATGTTCAGAATTAGAGTTTTCAACTCTGAGCATACTTGTCCTTTGAAAGATAGGGTGCACTCGCAAGTAAAAGCATCAAGTGGATTTATTGGAGGCATTATCGCTCCTAAATTGAAAAATCATAAGAGGAAATACACTCCCAATGATATCGCGGTTGACATGAAATTGGATTTGGGTGTTGATATTAACTACCAGATGGCATGGCGAGCAAAAGAAAAGGCATTGGATTCCATAATGGGGCAACCCGCTGCCTCATACAAAAAGTTGCCTGGATATTTGTATACATTGGATAAAACATATCCTGGTTCACATATTCGAATGAAGAAAACTCCTGAAAACGAATTTTTGTATTTGTTTATATCATTACATGCTTTTATAAAGGGATTTGACTATTGTAGGCCAATCGTTGTTGTAGACGCCTGCCACCTAAAATCAGCATACACAGGTGCTTTCGTTTCAGCCAGCACTTTAGATGGAGCAGGTATGTGTGATATATGAATACATTTAGTTAATGTTTATTATATATAAATTACTTTGTTGATGTATAACAGGAAATATATTACCTTTGGCCTACGGAGTTATCGATTCTGAAAATGATGCTTCTTGGACGCGGTTTTTTGAACAGTTCAAAGAAGCATATGGAGAACGAGAGAATATGTGTGTAGTATCTGACAGGCATGAAAGCATTATAAAGGCTGTTTCTAGAGTATACACTAATATGCAGCATTACGCCTGTATATGGCACTTGTGGGCCAATGTATGCAAGAATTTTAGAAAATCAAATGAGCAATTAAGTGAGATATTCTATGCTATGGCGAAGGCATATACGCAGAATGAGTTTGATAGGCTAATGAATAAGGTTGAGCAAGTTGATATTAGGGTGAAGAATTACTTGGAGTTTGCGGGATATGAGAAGTGGGCAAGATTGTATGCACCAGTTCATCGTGGTTGGATGATGACATCAAACATTGCAGAGTCTATTAATTCAACTCTGGTAGCAGCAAGAGAATTACCGATATTTGACTTTCTTGAACAAGTGAGGTTAATGTTCGCTAGATGGAATTGCAAAAATCGAGAAAATGCATCCTTCACATTCACTCCTCTTGGTAAAAAATTTCAAGAGATGCTTGTACTTAATACGGATAAATCTATACGTATGATGGTATGTATGTTCATGAGAACTGATTTTTCTCTTCTTTTTTTCCAGCGAGTTTGTATTCGGACTCGTTTTGCTTCATTCCAGTCAGTTTGTGCTTTGTTGTATTTGTATATAAGTATATGTTTTTTTTTGTATGAATTGTATTTGTTGTATTCATTACAGGTTGTCCCATCAACTGACTACATTTATTCGGTGAGTGACGAAGGAAAAAGTTTTATCGTATGCCTTGAAAACAAAAGTTGCACTTGCAAGAGGTTTCAAATGGACGGAATTCCATGCCCACATGCTTGAGCGGTCTTGAATAACAAAAATATGCTTCCAGATGCATACTGTTCAGACTTTTACAAGCCAAAAACAGTGTTGAAGACATATGAGGTGCCTGTGTATCCTCTTCCTGATGTAACTGAATGGAATGTACCTGAACATATTGTTGAAGAAATCGTGTTGCCACCGAGATACAAGAGACCTCCAGGCAGGCCAAAGAAGCAACGGGATAAATCATTCAGCGAGTTGAGTAAAAGAAAGGGTACCAATTCTTGTAGTAGGTGTGGAAATCGTGGTCACAATAAGCGTTCATGTAGAGCTGCACCACGTAATGTGTAGGATTTGATTTTCAATAATTAGTATTTGTTTCATAATTTTGATTATGCCGAATTATTGAATAAAAGTTTTTATTTGCATACAAAGTTTTTTTTTACTGTTTATTAATTTTGAAATTTAAAACAAGCTCTTAGTTTTAGAAACCAAACTGAAATTTTGGTAGCCAAATCAAAAACTATCATAAACCATTTTAATTTGATGTAATTTTAACATAAATTAAAGATGTGGTATTGATATGTCATAATAATGCCTGAATAAGACTAAGAAAAAACGTTAACTAAGAAATCAATGAAGGTAAAAACTAAAATACATTTAACTAAAAGTACATACAAATATAGTCAGTTTTGTAAGTTGCTCTACTTAGAATATACCTTTTGAGTAAAATACAATTAATCAATAAAAATGATTTTATTTACATACATTTGTTTTTTTATTGGATTTAACTTTAAACATGAACATGTTATAACCAATGTGATATTTTAGGAGCCACAATAAATCCTATTGATTATTCATTCCGAACAAAGCTGTGTTTCCGATATTCCTTGATATAAAAATATATAAGCAAGACTAAACCATGTGAGCAATTAGTATTTAGCAATACTAATACACATAAATATAGTTAAATAAGATACAACGAATATGCATACAAAATATATTTAAATAGTAATACACAAAAATATAGTTAAATAAGATACAAATAATATGCATACAAAAATGAAGTCTGCCAACGAATTGCCCAGAAAGAAATTCAATTGTTCATTAATTAACATACTCTAAGCCAAAAACTACTAGACATAATATCCAAAACGAACTAGTAGTTTCAAAATATCTTTAAAATGAACAACTTAGATAGGCTACTAGTTGATCATGACAATTTCACTACTGTCCATTTCTGAGCATGGCTTCCTGTTCAACTTAGGGGGTGCCTCATTGTCGCTAACAGCCCCATCTTCCATCTTCTTTGCAGCATATTCCCAAAGAAGTGCACCGTATCTAATACGAAGTAACTCAGCATCGATGGTTTCAACACAAATGTCATTGCCATCACTCAAGTACTCTGCAAATGCAAGCAAATACAGTCCACAATCCCTGTACATATATATAATTTGTTAAAGAATATATTTTGTATATCTCTATCAATTTGTATAATGATGACACAATTTTGTAAACATACATTGAACCATATCGCTGCTGAGGTATATCTTTCACATAGGTCACATCGAATGGAATGTTCAGGTCTTGCGTATCATCCATGTTATCGTCATAATACATGGACAAATACATCGGTAGAAGCTGAGCAAGCTTTTGGATTTCCTCCCTAACAAAAGAATCATGTTTTGCTGCTCTGTATGAGTCATATACATGAATGTGTCGTTCAACCAATGACAGAACAGCTAATACCCAATGGTTCCTCTGCTTCACATTAACTGGTATGAGCACGTTGTCGATTGTATTCCATGGAATAGCAGCCATCAACCTGTAGCCATTTATGTATTCACGTATGTCGTTTTCAATGTTTGCAACACAATTTTTGCTTTCAATGTTAGCATACGCGGCATAAATGTCAGCAATCTTTGTCTTGAACAGACAATCAACAGTTGTGTATTTGTATCGGCTGTTAACGCCGTACTTGCTTTTTTTACGCAAGTAATACAGAACCACATCGATATGCTGTGATAATTCGACAGAAATATTGAGTTGGATCAGTTCTTATAGAAGATACATCTATTATGTATAAATGAATACAATACATTACGTATAAATGAATACAATATATTACGTACCTCATCATTCAAAAGCTATCCATCATATGATAAAGTGTAGAACCAATTCTTGTTAGTTATTAAGTGAATTCCCAAGTCCATGTGCACTGCCAATTCTGCCTTGTTCTTCTTATAGTGATCTTGGTCCTGCAGCCTTTGATACAATAAAGATAGTATAATTATGGTGAATGTACCCTAAATGTACATATGAATTTTTTGAATGTATTTAAAAAAAAGTGCTTACTTGTGTGTGTGCTTAACAAGGAGACCTTCACGAAGCCACATCGCGTAATCTTCAAAAACATCATAATTATGTGGCCCTCGTATGGAATCAGTCACAAATGGATGTATCTTTTCATGTATTTTGTTCACTATTAAGGAACTACCTGTTAGAAATTAGAAATTTGTATAACAACTCAATTTTAATGCTAACAGTTCTAATATATATGTATACATATTCCAACAATTTATAACTTTATAATTACCAGATGAAGATCCAAACTTGGTGGAGTAAGGAGAGCAATTCCAACGACCAGGACGTCTAATTCTGACAATCGGTAAAGGTGTAACCTCATCAACTACGGCCTTTGAGTGAATTGGTAAAGGTGTGACCTCATCAACTACAACCTTTGAGTGAATTGGTAAAGGTGTGACCTCATCAACTACGACCTTTGAGTGATTTGGTAAAGGTGTAACCAAATCAACTATGGCCTTTGAATGAATTGGTAAAGGTGTAACCTCATCAACTACGGCCTTTGAGTGAATTTGTAAAGGTGTAACCTCATCAACTACGGCCTTTGAGTGAATTTGTAAAGGTGTAACCTCATCAACTACGGCCTTTGAGTGAATTGGTAAAGGTGTGACCAAATCAACTATGGCCTTTGAATGAATTGGTAAAGCTGTAACCTCATCAACTACGGCCTTTGAGTTAACCACCCCTTTTTTTACCGAATTAAGGCTTGGTAGCAACTCATCAATCAACTCAAATTGTGATGCTGGTTGTACATGTTCTGTTGTTTTGACGTTCATATCAAGAGATTGAACAGGAACAACAAATACAAATGATTCTTCAGGCTCATCGACTCCAACTTCTAATTGTGGTATCTATACAACAACAACAACAAAAATATCATAAATTAATATATTTAAATACTTTTTCAAAATAACAATACAACTACTTGTCAAAAATTTATATATAGTTTAATAACCCTCTTTTTGAAACTGTATTGTTGTTTGATGACTCGCATCAGGTAACAACTGTTCCAACATTTCCCAATCCACATTTGAAGTATCACCATTACAGGATTTCCATCATTGTGAATGATCGATGATACAGTAACTTTCTGTGATAATTTTATCAAATAATACAAAAAGATATAAGGAAATCAATTGCATGAATACAATTATAATTGTATACTCCATAAAGAGGGAATGTATCCATAAATTACCCCATTTGTATCAAAGTGATTTTTTTCCGAATCAACCTGTACATTTGATTGTTGAATGTTGTCATTCAGCGAATTCTTCTTCCCAAAATCAGGTATAGGGAATTGAGTTCCTATATCATCAGTCTGTGAAAATTTATCAAATCATAAGTGTTATAACATATATATGTTAATATATATTATGCTATACCTGGAATGACTCTTTAGTTGTACAGCTAACATTGATTGCATCCAAAACATCTTTTAGATTTTCCACAATAAATAAACGCAGCTCCTTAAACTCTCCAGTGACCTAGATATATTTGTAAAAAGTTAGATAATATTTTTATAAAATGAAAAGTATAACAAAAACAAACCCAAAACTGATTACAGATTTCTTAAATGCGGCAAAATCTTGCCGCAACTCAGCAATTTCATCTGACTTGCTATCGGATTTTTTCTCTGTTTCCACAATGTGTGGTGTTTCATTGATTGAACTCCCACGCTTATTCTTTGGCACATCTGATGAAGCATTGCCCTTTTCTTTTCCTTTATTCTTTGGCACATCTGATGGAGGTTTTGAAGTGAAATCATCATCCTCATCTTCATCGACATCTTCATCAGCTAGAGCTGTGTCAAATACAGCATCTTTCGATGGAATTTGTAAAAGTGCAATCTCCTTGAGTGATGGTGAAATATTCTGGAAGGTTAACTGTATAGAATGCATATGTATTCCATTAATATATAGTTATTGAATTACAACATCAAAGTATAAGTACTCTATACATAATAAAGGTATTAATTTTAATTGAAATAAAACATAAACAAATTACCGGATTCTTATTATCTTTGAACATTTCTTCCATTAAGTATTCATAATGTGGTCGCTTCTCTTTGGTCCTCCAATTAAGCAATCTGGGGATACGGTTGGAAACTTTTGAGGCAATTTTCTTGTCAACAGAAGAACAGCACTCGTACAGCCAAACTTGCATAGCAAGCGGCAATCCTATAATATTTTTTATGAGCATCCATCTTCTTTGATACAGTCTTAAGCAATGCTGCAAAAGCTTTTATTCCCCACGGATAATCACTGTATCGACCACTCTCAACCAAATCAAAGTGGCTCCTTGGTATGGATGAGCTGGTCTTCTCCTTGGAGAAGATGAATGTATTTATGAAATACAGAATTGCAAACTTAACAGCATCATCATCGTTCCCATCACCCCAGACTTTCTTGTCAAACTTTCTGATCAGTTCTGCCTTTTTTATTACATTCTTTTTACCTCCGAAAAACTGTTCAATGATTCTGTTCGGTTTCTTTTTGTTGAATGAGAAATCATCAGGATCAGCAACACAATTTAAACCAGATATTATGGCAAACTCTTGAATACCAAATCGGAGTGTGGTCCCATTTATACGAATGAGCAAAGTATCTGATGAACTGTTCTGTAACTCACAAACCATGAAGCACCTAAATATTTGATTTTGGACACGACACTCATGCATTTTGGTATATACACCAAAACACGTGTTCTTAAATTTTTGAAACTGCACAGGAGTAAGCTTCTCCTTCAACTGGTGAACAATGTTATGGTTTCCGTATACTTGCATATGTGGGGCTTCAATTGGACGTTCTACCACATATAATCTGATTTCCTATAAATGCATATAAAACTCAAAGTATTAATATATTCAGGATTCAAGTATTTATTAAAACTTAATGTATCAGTATGTCAAACAATGTAAGTATATAAATTTAGCACAAGATCACGTTGAATACACCAATATTGAATACAATGAATACATTGTTGTTAAACACAAAAATGAATACGTTGGATAAAATAGATATATAAACAAGGTGTGGGTATCAAACTGTATAAGTATTCAGGTCAATTTTTCACCGTAATAGTTGAGGTCTTTTTTGTTCATGTTCTTCTTGTACTCACTTTTTAACAACTATGTACATACAAAATCAATTTTTCTAACAAATTTAATACAAGAGGACAATCCATAATGACAATGTCACACAATACATGTGTTGAGATATATAAGTAAATGACATGAAACTAAAAAAGATAAGTATACAAACAAACCTCAATTTCATTTTCCTCTTGATCCTGCTCGACTGCTCTTTTTTCACACTCACTTGAATCAATACTGTTAACTTTTCTCCTTTTTTCAAGATTAGTTTTCACTTCTGAACGTTTTTTCCTCTTTACTAATTTTGCATGTTCGATTTCTTCAAGAAGATTTAAGGGCATATGGTCATTAACCTTCTTTGTTCTTCTTTCACTCTCCATTGCAGCAATAGAGCCTGTAATTTTGGCTTGTTGTTGAGTAATACACAAATCGAAAGAAGGTAGTTCATCCAACAATTTGTCAAATAAATGTATACCTCTCGTAACCCTTCTCGGAGTACCACTTTCAGCCATTGAAATGGTTAAACAAATTCTTGAATCAAAAGCCTATCAAAATATAAGATAGTGTAGATGTGTATATATATAATGTTGATAAAAACGAGATAAAGATACAATTAGAAGATACCTGATGGATACAAATCACAAAAATCGCTCCCTGCAATGATGTAAAGGATCTTGAATTTGAATGAATTTGTATGGGGGGAAAATCAGAAAATATGTGATGTATAATGCTCATAAAAACGAAATAAACAAAAATCACTCCTTGCAATGATGTAAAGGATCTTGAATTTGAATGAATTTATGGAAAAAAAATCAGGAAATATATGAATATTGATGAAAGAGAAATTTGATGTGGTAAATATGGAAAACATCACAAACGTGCCATTCATAATCAATTAGGCATGCATTAATTACTTTCCTATTGAAAATTTATTTATTATATTAAATATATATAAAAAATTTATTTATTTGTATATAATTAACTTTGCTATTTATAATCTAATTATATCCATATAACATGAAAAAAATAAAATATAGCTATTTTTCTTAAATATATATGGATGTTTGCCATATTCTGTAGTTTTTCCAAATTAAAATATGTCTAGTACTCTGTTAATTGCTACACTACAATTATATTGGGGTCTTTTCCTATGACAGTTGTACATGTTATGTTCTTAGTAGAGGTTTCTTAAATACATTTGTGATTATGTATATGTAAAGTCATTTGTTTTAGATATACTAGTTTGACCTTCATTTGTTATATACAATTTTATGATTTGTATTACTTGTTATGTTATGTTCCTCATCGGGATCCATTTTTATATTGAATGTCATTAGGTTCTTTTTCACTTCGTCTTGGCTTGGGCCGGGATAAGTTTTTAAACCTTCAAATTGGATATTAATTAATTATTATTTAAATGTTGAATTCATGTATAATTTTTTTGCAATTTTGAATTTAAGTCTTCATATCGGTTTTGGTCGTGCTTCTTTAGTTGTTCTTTATTAACTACTCTTTATAGATGTTTATTTTCAATTGTCATAAGAATGACGTGATCTCTCGTGAAGAAAACAAATTCATTCTCAATGTTCACACTAGATTAATAAATATGATTTTTTTTTCATTATTGTAGAAAGACCCTAAATATAATATTACAGTTAAGTTTAGGTTAACCTCGCATTAAGTCATCGAGTTTGTAACATAAATATATAAAAAATATCAAATTATTTTTTCTAATCATAAAATCAAATTAGAAAAATAATATTAATTTTCATAACTCCTGAAATGTTTCTTTAAAAAAGTTTTAAGTGTATGATAATTAAAAGAAATGGTTGGTTATATTAACTTTCTGAATTAGCCTAATATCACTATTACCATGATAGATAAATTCAAAATTTATTTGTAACGATCCATTAGGTCGTTTTGAGTACTATAGTTTATTATTTCATAAAAGACTCTTCCAATAGATTCTAAATGGGTATTTTAGACTATTCGTAACTATAGTTATATAATTAAGGGAGTAATTTAAATAATTAATATAGTTAGTGGTTAAAGAAAATAACATTAAAATTAGTAATGGACCACTTTTACCACTTTTATAATTAGTCATATAATAATTAGGGTAATAAATAATCAGTAGAAGAATTTTTTTTTTTGAAGAGACGCGGTCGGAGGACAAGATTGAAACGACGACTGTAAGATATTCCATTAATTTTTCCTTACTTTGCAAAAGATGAATAGATAATAATGTAGGAAAGTTATAACATGTTAGTGTAGGAATTACTATATTCTATTGTTGGGGGTGAAAGAATGAGTGTCGTTTGTCGTGTTAAAATTCCGTCGAATCAATGTATTGATTTAAGTTTAGTTTAATTATTAATGTTGGATGTAAAGAAAATCAATAAGATTGAATAAGAAAAAGTGGGGAACAAATCTTTAGTAGCTGAATTAGAAATCGAGTCACACTTCTATGCTAGATAAATATGGAATTGTCATGGCTATTCTACCTGTATCCACGTGGTTGATGAGTCCACGATTTGGACTCATTTAGGGCTTTATTTGGATATATTTTGTGTCCTCAAATGCTTGTTTTGTACCAATAACTGATGTAAAACCCTTGATTTCCAGGTATTTGGATAGAGGAACAAAGCATGGACACTAATTTTCAAAAAAGAACAAAGTGAGCTGAAAGAGCGAATAAAGAAAGGCCTGGTGATCACCAAGTCCATTTGGCGAGTCGCCGATTGGCCATTTGACCGCCTAAAGTTCCAGTGTGCCAAGCCCTGAAGGAGAAAATCAAGTCGGCGAGAGAAAGGAGCAGTCAGCGTGTCGCCGAGTGGTTCCATGATGTAGTGTTGGATCGCCCAAAGTTACAGAACTTGAGGATGCAGAAGGCCAAAGCAAAAAAGCGATGGAACTGACCAAAGAGCGGATCGCTGAGTTGATCGGCGATCCAGACTTACTGCGTTGAATGGTCCTTCACAACATATTTTTGGCGACTATAAATACGTTTTTGAACATTTAGTTTAGTATCAAAGTTTTTTATCATAACATTTTTTTTATTCGAAACATTTAGGAGAGTATTTAGGAGAATATTTTTCCTTAAGCTTTGAAGAATTGAAGTTTTCCATTTTTGAGAAATTGGAAGTGGGTCTTTGAGATTCTTCAATTTGGACCTTTGTAAAGAAGAAATTAATTGTACCTAGTTGATGGAAACACAATTTGGTAACAATTTCGATCTTTTTATGATGTCTAGCTAAAACCCCAATTCTTGGGGTGTGATTATGTGATTATGGGCTGATTTAGCTTATGGGTATTGCTAATTGTTAGTTTAAATGTTGTTTAGAAGTCATTTCAATCCGTAATTATGGTTAAAATTAAAGGATTGTAGTTGCAAATGCAGTTCTACCTTCGTGTTTTTGGCTTGCTCGAGAGAGAGGTTTTAAAACCTAGATTACTAAATTGATGGTCTGTGGGTATTGGGTTGTCATGGGTTCAGCTCGAGAGAGTGAATCCTAAATCCTTTTCCACACATTCAGCTCGAGAGAGTGAATGGACTAAAGCGTAAGCTGTGGGATTCGAACCCAACTCATTTAGTTGGGTTATTATACTGACTAGCGATCGTTGACACTTAGAATTGGATGAAGTGTCCCTGATACGTTAATCAAAATGACGCCGCTGCCGGGGAGTGGTGTTGGTTAAGATTCTTTAGTTAAGTTGAATTTTGTTCTTGTTAGTTATAGTTGAATCTACTTGTTTTCAGTTTTAGTTTTTGTGTTGCTTGTCTACCATAGAATAAAGGAGCAGGTC